GCCCATTGTCAGAAATTTTACGATTTTAATTAGGGTGCACTCATATTTCGTTCCAGCGATGCCAGATGGCATGTGCAGTTTGAATTTCTTCACAAATGCTTTTATTATAAGTACAAAGGAAAGGCGAGCGAAACTTTTTCATTCTTCTGGTTCATATCGTGTCTTCTACAGCTACGTTTCGTTGAGTTCGGCAGTAATAGTATTTCCATTCTTCCTGTTATTGTCCGCAAAGGGGGTTGGAGCGGTGAGGAAGAGGAAGACGACGAATGCGAGCCCGAAGCTTTGCCGAGTTTTGCCGAAGCACACGCTGCATTGGCGAAAGTGAAGTCGTTCTTTTATGCGCTTAATATTAGTGAACGTGACGAAGAAAACATTTTGAACGTGGAAAGTGCTCTGTTTGGTCTAAAACGTAAAGTTTCAACAAACCAGTTGTCCATTAAAGACTTTTTTGGTAAAAAGAAGTAACTTTGAAAGAGAGACATTGTTTTTTTTAAATTTTTAATGCTTTCCCGCATTCATCGTTTTTATTTCCCACCCCCGCCGAAAACGATGCATCGAGGTTTCACTGTATTAGAATTCCACCTGGTCTGGCCTGAGCCCAAAAGTTTATCTTCAAATAAATACATTACCTGTACCCGAATTATGCCTGACTTCCTTTTATTCCAGCCGAAATGAAGCCCAATATATTTACAATCTGCTCTGCCATATCATTAATATGCTGTTCTACTAATGCATCAATACCAGTAATCTTTGAATTATTTAACAACACCAAGAACATCAGAGGTTATTTTTGCATTTCAGAAAAGGTGCAAAGATATAGAATGCCAAGTTTTTAAGGTGCTATCTCGAACAATGTCCAGGAGGGGGCAACTACGAAAATCTCAAGAAAATTAGGAAGGTATGTAGGATTTATTTCTGTAGTGTCAGAAGCATAAGATGAGCACAACTATAAAAAAAAATTATATAAAAGTAATGGCTCAAGAAAGCCCAAAATGTTCTATACAAAGTTTGACTGTTATCATTTGAACTAAATCTAGCCCAGATACAAACATCTGTGTTACCAGGCCTGGGCCCATGTAAACCTCTATCATACTATACATGTAAATATGGTAACAGACATTGCTTTGTAATTGATTAAAATTATGTGAAGTCAGCAACAAGTTTTCTTTCTCAAACACTTTTAGGAAAGATGACAATGATCACCAACAAACTAATGGGTAGAAGGTAGATATCTATCACTGATTTTCAACTATAGTATATCATATCTCACCTGAAGACGGAGAGAGAACCAGCCTCCGAAACATCGTGGTTTTAAAGAACAGACGATGGAAAAAGTCCTGACAATGAATAATTCTAAGTGTAAACTACCATCGTCAAAACCCTTTAGAATTGAATTACAGTATATCATGACCGATATGAAATCATGAATAAGTTTAACCAGGCCTTGCATTACAGAAAGGGGGAAGGGCATGTCGTGAGTTGACAAAACATTATATGGAGCATGATGTACAGGACTGCTGGCTTCTGCCTACTACTGTTCCAAGCACTGTCACTTCATAACTTCATTACAGTCATCAGAGTAAAATCACACATCTTAAAACTATTCATAACCAATTACAGTATTTGCTTTACTAAAATACTAGAAAGATAATTTAATTGTGGAACTTTTCAATTCTGATTTGATGTTAGTGCCATCTGCAATTACTTGAAGAATCTTGGAATACAATGCATGTAATCAAAATCAAAGCAAGGACTTTTTTCTGGTGGTATGTAATGGTATATAAAGCACAAAAAATTAAGATACTGTCAAACTGACAACCTGCATAGACGATATTCAATACAGCAGTTTTCAGTATTTTAAAAGAGTTATTTTTTATTAAAAAATAAAGAATTACCCTCTCCATCTATCACATCAAATTATGGGCACATATCTTTCTGGGTGGGGTAAAGGAAGTGACTAGAACTAAAGTGACCAATATTTCTGTATGAATCACAACAGTGTATTAATGGTATTAATGTACCAGTTTATTAGAAGGCAGAATTTACAGCACTCACCTCCTGCAAATATTTCATGCTGAACAGAAGGGACAGCTTCATGAGTGCCAGGGCCACTGGAACTTTGGCATCAGTACTTGTCTCTGCAGCCAAGTCATAGCAACGTTTTGCTAGATGCATATCCTGAAAAAATAAAAATAAAATAAATAAATAAATAAAACCACAATTTTCATGAGTTTGTAATCACTAATGCAATATGCAAACACTTCAAAAACTTTCAGATGCTCTATTACATAAGAATTTCCACCCCACTAACCCCTTTATACCGGTACTTAATTGTACATTGTTGTGCCTAGTCACCATTTAAATTTAAACTTCTTTTTACCAAACCCACTGAACTACTTCTGGCTTAGAATGTTTTGAGGTATTGGGCCTAACATCACTCATCTCAATATCATCACTCATACGTAAATACAGAGTGTCCGGATGAAAGGTATCCAAAATAAAAAATTTATATCTCGGAAACTAATTGTCAAACACGTATCCGGTTTATGTCATCGGAAAGGAAAACTCTGGAAGTTTTTTTCTGAGTACATAACTTTCTCAGTAAATTTCAATGTGGGCTCCCCTGGTGGCACGACAAAAATCCAGACAATAGCCGACCTCGTTCCACGTTGCTTGAAGCATGTTTGGTGTTACCGTAGCCACAGTGTCTCTTATGCGGCCTTTCAGGTGTTGAAGGTCGTTGATCATTGATCTGGTAGACAATGTTCTTCACATAACCCCACAAGAAAAAATCCAATGGGGTTAAATCTAGCGACCTAGGAGGCCAAGCGATTGGTCCACCTCTGCCGATCCATCTCCCAGCCATCTCTCTGTCCAAGTGATTCCTAACATGTTGGCAGAAATGTGGCGGCGCCCCATCTTGTTGGAGGATAGTTTGAGGTGGTAACTGGGGCATCGCATGCAGCTCCAGCATGTCCAAGTACGAACGTCCATTCACAGTCTTTTCCGAAAAGAAAAACGGTCCAATCAACTTATTGTGCATTAAGCCGGACCACACGTTCACTTTGGGGCTGCCTCTCTCCAACTCAAATGTGACATGTGGATTTTCACTGTCCCAAATGCTGCAGTTGTACCTGTTTACAACTCCATTGACATGGAACATCGCCTCGTCCGAGAGCACACTTGGTAGAGGAAATCGGGTGATGCGTCAATTCTTTCTAGCATGTCCACAGCAAAGTTTGTGCGTGCTACTTGGTCAGTCGATTTTAGTGCATGAATCATTTGAATCTTGTACACTCTTAGGCGAACCCTTTTGTGTAGCACAGCGTGCACTGTTGAACGTGGAATTTGTAACTGCAAGATAGCAGCACGAATTGATTTGCGCGGACTTCGCTGGAATGCCTCTCTAATGTGATTGAAATTTTCTTCAGAGGTATGTCCGTGTCTTTCCAGGAGATTTTACACTCAACAGACTACTTGTAGTCCTCAGTTTGTTGTTCCAGAACCGAATGCTTTTCCGTGTAGGAGGTTGACGTCCATACTGCGTTCTAAAACGACGCTGGACAGCCATAAGAGATTGCAACTCTGCTAGCCACAACACGCATTGAACCTGTTCCTGTGGTGTCAACATCATTATTGAGCTCGCCGAAGGTCACCAGCTGGCGCATGCATGTAAGCCGGGCATGAAAAAAACTTTCAGAGTTTTCCTTTCCGATGACATAAACCAGATACGTGTTTGACAATTAGTTTCCGAGATATAAACTTTTTATTTTGGATACCTTTCATCCGGAACTCTGTACATGATACCATACACTGACCACTTATCTTCAGTTATAAAATAATGAGTAGTTTAAAAATCAACTCAGTCCATCCAAAACAACAAATAAACAGACCTGCTGCATTCCTAGTCCCTGCTCATGCATGTATCCAAGGTTGAACATAGCCTGCGCATTGTGTTGCTGCTCTGAAGCAAGTCGATAATGCGTGGCAGCCATTTCATAGTCCACAGGCGTACCAAGTCCATAGTAATGGTAGTCCCCGAGCTTCACCTGTGCGGCCGAGAAGCCTTGCGCCGCTGCCCGACGCCAGTACATGAGCGCCCTCACAAATACATCTTGCTCCAGAAACAGTGAAACATCACCTAAAGATAGATGGGTACTCTGAATACCAGAATTATCAAAGAGGAATGACTTCTGTTCTCTTTAGATAACAGAACAAACACCAAATGGTATACAATAATATACTACCAACCACTAAAAGAATGATTAATTCAATCATCATATTCAAATATAATTCATCCTATCTGTCAGTCATTTTATTTAGTGTTTCATCTACTGCCAGTGAACTTGAACTGGTTTGCCTACAGTGCTATTTATGTACCACATATACGAGGTGCGATCAGAAAGTTTCTAGACTGCGCCTATAAAAACCCGTACACTTATCTCAGGTATTAAATTCATCCATCACCCTCGAAGTAGTTCCCCTGGGAGTGAACACAACGATCCCAGATGGTGCTTGACAGGCTGACAAAGAA